TTTCCCGGATGTGTAGCCGCGTCGTAGCCTGTTTACATCCGTTTCTCACCCCTCAAAAAATCGGGGAGAGAACGTCTGTGATTTGCCGTTGCTAATCGTGTTCTGACATAAATTTGCATATATAATGTGACATGCACGTTAGAGCTTGAGCAGGCACGTTAAAAGGTCAAGTAAACAATGGACCGTTCCGCAACATAATTCGAACATAATGCCTAGAGATTTTGTTTTTGTTTCAGCCATTCAATTCTAACTTCGACCGTGGTTTATATTATTGTCTCTGCCCATTGGTCTATGCCGTGCTCTCTCTATCTTCGGTAGTATGACATGTGTCTCGTCAGAATGTGGTTTTCCTGTAATTTGCGTCATACAATGGCTTCCATCAACCGTACTAATATCTTATTGTGAAGATTACGTTGTCCTCGGCAGTTTTGAAGCTGTAACTCTGGCGCTTTCGCAGGCTATTATGAGATGTAGAATACAAACTTATCTTCTTTAGCACTTCTGACAAATGCAAGTTTTGTTCGTGAAGATTGGCGGCGAATTCTAATGACATTATAATTCCACATCAATTTTAAATTTACCCTGACCGAATATACGATTAAAGCCTAAACTTTTACAGAGAATTTGAGAGCAAATAACATATTCAATTTGAAGCATTCTACATGTTCCAGTGGTTTACCATGAAGGCTTATATTTCACTCGTGTGACCAACTTTACACGCCATCTATTGATTTTGGCCAATCACAAGTCTCATAAGTCAACGGCCAATGAAATTCGTCCTCAAAATCTTGAGGACCTCAGAACACGATTAGCAAYGGCAAATCACAGACGTTCTCTCCCCGATTTTTTGAGGGGTGAGAAACGGATGTACACAGGCTACCGCGTCGTAGTTTTGCCTAAATTAGCATGAATATTTCTGCGCTTTGATTTCGCTCTCCTCTGGATTTTTTTCTTGTGATTGCTTTTTCTAATATTATCAATTATTATCAATTTGGTTATCAATAAGTGCAACATTGTTATTATTGTATGCGCCTCGGGACGGCTGCAATTGGTTATTCGTCTCCACTAAATTCAGATTTATCCTACTATTTGCTTCTTTTTAACCTTGGAATAATGGGGTTCAGCTACACCCCAATTAGAAATCATTTCGCCGGAGAAAAATGGCCAAGTTATCGCGGAACCAGGGCTGGGAAACAAGTAAAAGAACGGAATCTTCATCGCCTGCATCAGATCAAACCCATAACACCAAGATCAGCGAAACGTGTCATCCTTACCAAAGAACCAAGGCTCGCGTTTCACAACACAAATAATCTTATCTACATTTCGTCCAAAATTCAACCCAAGTGCACGAAACAGCTTTTTGTTCCGTCCTTTTTGCTGTCTAACGTAATGTCTCTGGCACCAAAAATAGACGAAGTGCGTGAAGCCGTCCATTATGCAAACTTCGACTTTGCCTGCATTACAGAGACATGGCTAAAAGAGCACATCGATAATAATATCATCAACATTTCTCGATATAACGTTACTCCCCGCAATCGCCATTCAATCGAACATGGGGATGTGTGCACCTATTCTCCCGGCCAATTGCTGATATCACGAACAAATCTTTTCAAGAGTCCAAGCTACCTAAATCACGGAAGGACGCAGATATAGTTTCCATACCCAAGCAGAAACCCATGCATAATGTTAACAAGCACCTTCGTCCAATATCGCTGACTGCTGTGCTGTCAAAGATCGCAGAGGACCTGCTGTGCTTGCAAAGGTTGATGAACACCAATTTGGGACGGTACCAAAGTCTAGCACTACACTAGTCCTGATCAGCATGGTCCACTCGTGGCTGTGTGCGACCGACGGTAATGGCGGCACGGTTCGTGCTGTACTATTCGACTTTCGTAAGGCCTTCGACCTTATCGATCATAGGATCTTAGTTAACAAACTCTCGACGTACGGCCTCCCCAGCAGACAACGGGTTAAACTTACCCGGGAATGCCACTCGGAATGGGGCCCCATCCCAGCTGGGGTCCCGCAAGGGACCAAACTCGGCCCCTGGCTTTTTACGATCATGATTAACGACCTATCTGTTCCAACTGTCAATATGTGGAAGTACGTAGATGATACGACCATCGCAGAGATAGTTCCAAAGAATCAGTCCAGTAACATTCAACAGCATGTCGACTACCTCGCCGAACAAGTATCCCTGGAAAAGTTTCAGCTGAATGAAGACAAGTGCAAAGAAATCCGCATTACCTTTGACCGTTCTGATAAGGACTTTGAACCAATAATGGTCAATAACAAGAACATTGACAAACAACAACATAACATATTCGTTTCTGATTCACATGCAGTCAACTGATAGTTTTCTTAAAAACATCCCAAACGCGATGTCATTAGGCTCTTACTTTATACTTGTACATTATTATTATAACGAACATTTGCTTGGATATTGGTGTCATGACGACATTAATAACAGCAAAATAGGAACCTGACTAATTGTTTTTTTAATACTCCATCTTTTTTATTCAAAGCAAATAACCGCTGTTTTGTTTATAAGCAGATGTTCTCTCCCAAATACCTTCAAAAAAATAAAAAAATAACGAAAATATGTTCGTAAGTACAAAACAATAGCAAAGACAAATTACATTTTACCCGAGTAGGCTATCCCTGTATTTCCAGAAGGTTTGAACCTTTAGCTTTTGGAAATACAGGGTTAGCCTCAGCTCGAGGAAAATCTTCAAGCCTACTGTATTAACGACAGATTCACGTGATTTTTGTTTGTTTGGTAAGGTCTTTGCCTAAGAGAATCTTCTTTCAAATAAAGCAGTGGCTTTTCCCTTTGGATTCGAAAATGGAGTATTGTACAGTTAGGAATATAATTCATAGGTAATAGAACCCCATGCGGTTCATTTAATAAATAAATGGATTGAACGAGGAAAATTTCGATAGGACTGTCAAAATTTGAAGAGGCCGAAGACCTCAACAGCTTTTTAACCAAAACGCACCGTTGGCAAAGCACTTTAGAACTTCAGGATGCACTTATTATATTTTGTTACTGTTACTGTTCGTTTTGCTTTTACATTGCTATCGTCATTTTTTTAAGCCCACAGCCAACCAGGTGTGTTAATTTGAATTATGTTTCATTTTCTAACTATTTAACTGGCCTGAAATGTATTTTTACAAGAGCATTAGCTACCTATCAAACTGGAAGTCTGAATTTCCACTTTCTAATTTCGTGAGAAATTAGGTCTTTATAACGATATAGCCTTATTAACCCGATTATGTTCGAGCTCTGCGTTTATCTAGTCTTGTTTAAAATACATCCCAAGACCAAATTGGATATAAAACATGCCATGCTATCCGTGGCGGCGCTGTAATTTACCTGAAACAGTGTATTAGGAGTATAGGTTTAGCTAAATTATAATAATATAAGTCAAATCTGTGGAAATTATACTATGGATGATGTTAGTACATATAAACAGGTCATGTTATTAGTAGTGAGGCTATTACCACCTGCCTATAATGAAGCTATTATGAGTTTAATTACGTTGCTAGCACGCAATAATTAACAAATTTATCAACATTGGCTAAAAGTTCCTTCGTTACTGTATATCTCAATAACTCATGATGAAATTCCTATTTATAAGTGAGGCACAGTATTTGCGCCTGATTTGTCTTGGGATAAGCAAAGGCAAACGATCCCAATGCAGTTCAGTAGACCATATTTTATCTATATTCTCACGTACAAATGCAAACAAGATATTCTTTTTTCGATTTTTACCACATAGATGAAATGCTTGCCGAAAAACGTTTTTGGAATTTTCGGTAAAATTAAAAAAAACTTATTTTGAAGCTCAATTTGGCATATTAACATCGCTACTCTCAATTACTGTTGTATTTTTATACACCTGTTTCAAAAAAGGATAATGCCCATTCGATGGAAGTTTATTTGATCAAGTTACTCGCTGTCAAATTGAGGAAAATTTCACTTTAAATAGTGCTTCGCATTTTTAGTCGTTTCATATGCGTGCCTAATGAGGTGCCCACCACAAAGTCGATTGTTGAGGGAAAACTGTAAGTAACTTTATATAAATACTATTTGTACGACAGTAGTAACATAGAGGATATTACATGGGCGCGCGGAGATACGGATTTTATCTTCGAGTGTTGAAAAGACCTCTCACGAGTGAGCGTAGCGAAAATCAATTTTACGAAATAGAGAAATAAAGGTATTTCATAGATAATTATATGATAAAGTTAGTAAATTTTAGCTGTTGTAATGATAAGAATCATTTCAGGCTGAAAGCGAGAAAAAAAGTAAAACTGAGTAGGTTCTAACTTTCTAAATTTTATTCGTTGTTAAAGAATATAATACTAAGATAATGTATAATTCTACTTCATATTTATCTCACCTACTTTTTATTGTGTTAAATTTATCTTTTTACATAACTACTTCATACTGTACCATTATATGCTCTTAAAAACATAGAATCAGGTGAATGGAATTGAATATCAAAGCCAACACCCATATACACTTACTACTTCTCTTACCAAAAATAAGAAATCCTTATGAAGACAGAGAGCTTGATTTTAAGTTAAGCAACATACACATGAACCATGAGCCTGTCCGCCATAACATGGAAAAGTCTTGTGGTTTTACTTCGATAAAACGTGTGCTAGAAAAAAAAATCTATCGTGATATCATAATTCTCGCAGTGATATGCTGTCCTTTCTCATAATGCTATCGGTAAATTATTGTTATTACCTCTTATTTCAATTATACCTTTGAAATTTAGTTCGCTGTAATTGCTATGCCTTAATTTGTATCTAATTTTTTCATATGGAAAATTATTATTCGTGAGATTATTATCTTTGATAAGTACTCCTGACAAGCACATTTGAAACTGCAGTATGCTGGTACGACATCATTAAATGACATTTTTTTTCAGCATAGGTATCCTGGGAATCGTCCAAAGTGAAAGCAACTAGCATCTCTAACAGAAAAACTACGTGAAAAAAGTATGTTCTTAACTCTGGTTGGTATTCTGCTCCTAACAGAGAAATTACAACCTTCAGTCTCCGAAAATATCACAATAGGTAAGCAGTTTGAAGTTTTAGCATGTGCATTATATTTAATCCATATTTCTAATAATCACGTAATATTTGGCAAGAAATTATATAGGATTTTACTACACTTGTGTGAATTTTCGCGCTCTGACTGATTGATAATAGTATATCAATATAAGACATAGCCCACTGTCTGACACCATCAGGTGAGCATACACGCTCAGTGAAAGAAAATATTGATTTTCGCCAATTTTAATTTTAGACTTAAAATGTAAAAAAAAATTGCACGCGTTTGTGTAATTTATTTCTTATTAATACACTATTGACGTCATAGAATGTCTAAAACTTTGCAACTCAAAACCTTGCGCAATTTGTTTAATATGATTTTATGTCTATGAACGGAGAAAAACGATCCTTATATATGTATACATGGATAAGTAGAATAAAGTAAGACAAACTACCAACTTGCACCATTTAATCTCTCTTTTATTCAGAAAGTTTCGGCACTTCGTCCTTCCTCAGCAAACTGAGTGTTTTGCCGGACACACTCTATAAATACTAACAACTAGGCAACTAACAAACACAAGAACAAAGGAACTAGCTAACTAGGGAAACCTCACGAAAACTCCGAAAAAATATTTAAATTTATTCAAGAAATATAAAACGGCGCGCGTGTCTCTGTCCTCTGATATAAACACGGTGGGAGTTCGAAAAACACGAGAGAAGCAAGCTTAGGAACACGAGCGTAGCGAGTGTTTCTCTTGCTTCTCGAGTGTTTTTCAACTCTCACCGTGTTTATATCAGAGGACAGAGACACAAGCGGCCGTTTTATATTTCTTTTATAAAATTTTTCGAGCGAAAATAAAATTTTGCCGGTAAGCTGTGTCTCTGTCCTCTGATATAAACACGGTCGTCAGCCAATCAGAGCGCGCGTTATATATCAAAAATTTTATAAA